ATCTCTTCTGAGTCTTTAAAAAAGGAGGACGTTGACCTTTCTTTCTTAAAAGAAAATCTTCTGTTACAGAGATGGTATAATCTACTTTTTTTATACAAAGACTGTGTCAACTAATTTATGAATAATAAATTGTTTTTCTTTTCTTTTTTTAGAGACAGAATCTCACTTTGTTGCCCTCGGTAGAATGCCATAGAGTCACAGCTCACAGCAACCTCTAGCTCTTGGGCTAAGGTGATTCTCTTGCCTCAGCCTCCCAATTAGCTGGGACTACAGACACCCGCCACAACACCCAGCTACTTTTTTTGTTGCAGTTTAGCAAGGGCTGGGTTTGAACCCGCCACCCTTGGTATATGAGGCTGGTGCCCTACTCATTGAGCCACTGGCAGCCACTGAATAAATTGTTTTTCAACAATATATAGGCTCGGCACCTGTAGCTCAGGGGCTACGGTGCCAGCCTCATACACTGGGGCTGGCAGATTCGAACCCCAGGGCCAGCCAAACAACAATTGACAACTACAATAAAAAAAAATAGCTGGGTGTTATGGCAGGTGCCTCTAGTCCCAGCTACTTGGGAGGCTGAGGCAAGAGAATTGCTTTAGCCCAAGAATTTGAGGTTGCTGTGAGCTGTGACACCACAGCACTCTACCAAGGGCAACATAGTGAGACTCTGTCTCAAAAAAAAAAAAAAAAAAAACCAACACAATATATACCATATGTCCTGCTATGTAGCATGTAAAAGGAATATACAAATTAACATGAATAGTTAATTAAGCAAAAGTTACTGACAGAAAAAGAAGAAAAAATCCCTTTTCCATAACATAAAAATCCCAACACATAAAAGAACAATATTTCAATCAAAACACTGATTTTTCTGTGATTTTTTAATCTAAAATTAAATGCAAATCATTATTACAAATATTCTAAAACCAAGATGATCCACAGTACAATGCTGTACATTAAAATGACCACAAAAGAGAAGTGGGTATATTTCAATGGGATAAGCACAATAGCTTTCTCAGTTATATTGAAAATTTTAAGTTTAATAAAACTTTTAAAAGGGTGAAGGGCATCCTTAAAGGTAAACATGAATACTTTAAAACAGTTTCCATAAGTGTTTAACTTGATTTTATAATCAGTGCTTTGAAATTGGAGTTGTAACTGTTGTTTTGTCTTAATATTAATGGTTTGTGTAGAATCAGGTATAAAGGAAAATTTCTCAGAAAGATGGAATTGTTCATTGTTCTAGTGGACATGTAAAAACAATGCCAACTCAAAAGCAGCCAACTGGACAGCTGCACATGGACATACTCAGCAGGCATAGCACGAATCAATAATTAACAAAGCAGATGCACAAAGCTTGATGAGAATGTAAAGAAGAATAAAAGGAGCTGATCACAGTACTAGTTTTATAACAAATGAGATAATCTCTTTGTGTTCATCTATTTGTTGGCAAGAGTGCTTCAATAGCACACAAATCTATACATTATACATTAGAATGTTTTGATTACACTGATATGTACCTTTATTATTATTTTTTTTGAGACAATCTCACTATGTCACCCTTGGTAGAGTGCTGTGATGTCACAGCTCACAGCAACCTCAAACTCTTGGGCTTAAGCGATTCTGTTGGCTCAGCCTCCCAAGTAGCTGGGACTACACGTGCCTACCATAACACCTGACTATTTTTTTGTTGCAGTTGTCATTGCTGTTTTAGCTGGCCCAGGCTGGGTTTGAACCCTCCCACTTTGGTGTATGTGGCTGGCGCTATAACCTCTGTGCTATGGGCGCCGAGCCAAGGAGGAATACTTTTAATGCACGTAATTTTCTAACTTTTATATGCATGTGCGTATGTATACACATATGTCAGTGTACTGAATACATACACTACACTTACTAGTATATATATAAAACTTTCCCAACTAGTCAATAAGTTCCTTGAGCACAGGTATCATGTTTTGTAATGTACTCTAAAAACACCTAGCCTAACATCTTGTATATTAATAAATACCCATGGAATGAGAAAAATAATACATATCTTGGTTACATCAAAATATAATGAAAATGGACAATATGATTATGCATGCTTTAGTAAAACCATTCAGAGTAAACTCATGTTCAGATGTTGACTATATAACATGGTAATATCTTTTAGGAGACTTTCCTTTTTTTTGAAATACCTCTTAAACTGCAATGACTTTTAAAAACTAGAAATTTGCATGGGTAATAGATACATTTATAGCAAACTTTAGGAAAACAGGTTTCAGAATTTTAGGTATATAAGGAATTTAATAGCATAGTTTATTCACAGACTTTTTCCATTGAGCATATGTTGCTAGAATAACTACTCTTAAAAATGTAAAGGATTTATTGCTATTATTATAGCATGTGGGGTTGTTTTGTTTTGTTTTGTTTTAGAGACAGAGTCTCACTTTGTTGCCCTTGGTATCGTCATGCAGTCACAGCTCACAGCAACCTCCAGCTCTTGGGCTTAGGCGATTCTTTTGCCTCAGCCTCCCAAGTAGCTGGGACTACAGCCACCTGCCACAACACCCTGCTTTTTAATGCAGTTTGGCCAGGGTAGGGTTCAAACCCACCACCCTTGGTATATGGGGCCTTTGCCCTACTGACTGAGCCACAGGCACCACCCTATAACAAGTGTTTTAATCCGAAGCAGATTTATTCTTCATCTATAGGTCCATAATTCTATTTTACTTGCATTATCTATTGTCTACTTATCCATTAATTCACAAATATTTATTGAGTGCCTACTATGTGCCAGGCACTGTTCTTGCTGCTGGGCACATAGTTGTGAATAAATAAAATCCCTTACTTTACTTGTGCAAATTTTTTTTTTTTTAGAAACAGAGTCTCACTTTATCACCCTCAGTAGAGGGCCGTGGCATCATCCAGCTCACAGCAACCTCCAACTCCTGGGCTTAGGCAATTCTCTTGTTTCAGCCTCCTGAGTAGCTGGGACTACAGGCACCCACAGCAACGCCCGGCTATTTTTTTTTTTTGTTACAGTTTGGCTGGGGCTGGGTTTGAACCCACCACCCTCAGTATACAGGGCCGGTGCCCTACTCACTGAGCCACAGGTGCCGCACATACTATGTGCAAATCTTATTATACAGAGAGACAAATTATAATCAAGATAATTCAGAAAAATACATAGTAAATGAGATAAAGTTGCCTGCTAAGAAAAAGAAAATAAAACAGAGAAAGGGGTTAAGAAATGAAAGAAAAGAGTAGAATTTGAAATGGAGTGGCCAGGAAAGGCCTCGCCCAGAGATGGCATTTACGTTAAGTCCTGAAGGAAGTAAGGAAGCTAGTTCTGTGGGATATCTGGCAGATCCCAAGTTGCAAAGACCTTGAGGTGAAGATAGGGCCAGGCATCGCAGAGGAATATCGATGAGGTCATAGAGGAGGAAGGTGGTTAGTGGGTCATGTGTTGTGGGGAATAAAGAGAGATAAGGTCAAAGAGATGACTGAAGGCTAGGTCATAGAGGACTTCATAGGTAATAAGGCCATTGAAGGGTTTGAGCTAAGGAGTGACATGGTCTGACTGTAAAGGGGATCACTCTGGCCACTCAGTTTTGAGAATAGAGTGAAAGAGGGTAGGGTGGGGAATAGGGAGATTATTGAGGAGACTCTTGCTAATCCAGATAAGAGATGGAAGTGACATTAACTAGAGTGACAGGGACTAGATTCTGGATGTATTCTGAAGATAGTATTCACAACATTTTCTGACAGAATAAGAACTAAGGTTATCCACTATTTGTGATAATTAAATTTCCACTGGTCTTTCCTAAGCGATGAAAAACAGTTTCTCATAAATTCTTTGTGACTCTCAGAGTATGATACTCCTGGCTTTACTTTAGTTCCTGCGTTTGAAACACACCCCAATTATTTCCGTGTCCTAGCCCAACCTTGGGGAAGGGTGAGGAGAATATGCGGCTTTCTGAAGAAGACTGTAAGCTCTGCAAGGCCTTTGTCACGTCCTTTGATGCCTCAAAGCCTAGCTCAGAACCTTGCACACATTTGACTCTCAAAAAACGGTTGTTGAGTGGTATAGTGTCTACATTTCCCATGGTAATTGGAAAAGATTAAATTTTCTGCTACAGTGAAAAGCAATAAACTGGAAAAAAAACATTCAGCCCTTATCAATTGCACAATCACGAGTTAAAAATTTGCGTTTTAACTTTTGGAAGCTGGGAAGTCCAAGAGCATGGAGAAAAAAAATGTTTTAGTATTAAGGATAGTAGGCTGGGGACTACCGACCGGTAAATGTATTTGAGCCTTCCGCACCTGCATTCCGTTCAACCTCAAGTTGTTTTAGCTTCCCGCGCCTTGAAACTAAGTTAAAGGGCGGAGAAGAATGGCTTTCTAATTGGCAGCTAGGGCTGAGTGTCACACCACCCATACCTTCTTGTGAAGCTACCACGGAGTTAAGCCCCCTTGAAGGGCACATAAACATCACAGGGTCAAACGGCGTGCGTCCAGCTGGCCTGAGACCCCAGTCGGTCACCCGGCGCACGCAGCCCACAAACCCCCAAGGCGCGCGCGCCGGCGCTGTGCACGCCGGGAGTTGTAGTTCGCCGTCCTCTCCCTGAGGGCCGAGCCTTCGCCGCGCCAGCGCCCCAAGCGGCTGCCGGCTCCGAGGAACGCCCCGCGCGAGGTTTGAGGGAGCGCTTCCTAGCAACCGTGGGGAGCGGCCACGTCACGGTGGCGGGTTCTAAGCACCTCTGGGCAGTGTAGGGCCAACGTTAGTACCTCCCAGCAGCTGCGGGCTGCTGAAGCTCTGCTCTCAGCGCCGTGTCCGCAGGTCTCGGTTCGCCTGTAGCCGCCGTATCCTACTCCAGGTGGCTGAGCGCATCCTCCTGCCTCGACCCCACCGCTGAAGCCCGGGCAGGAGGCTAGAAGCAGCCGGGCCCGGCCCAGCTCCCAGCCCGTCCTCGCCCCTTACGCCCGCGGGTCCCGCCGCCCCTGTCCTCTGCGGGATGATGCTGGAGTCCATTCGCGTGACGGGTGAGCGTGCGCCGGGGCCGCGGCGGCAGGTGTGGGGCGGGTCGCGGTCCCAACCGCCACGAACCGAGGTAGCGGGAGGATGTGGGCTGGTCGCGCGGCGCGGAGACTCCACTCCACGCCCAGAACCTTGCGAGGCGCACAGAAAGCTCTCAGAAAAACGCGCGGAGGGAAGAGAGAAAACGGTTCCCTTTCCATGGGTCGTTTGTTTGCTATCAGTAAGCACATGCTGTGGGATATAGTGAAGAAAATTACAATAGACAGATGACTGGTTCTACAAGTGTTCAGTCTTAAATCCCATTTCAGAGCACATTAGGTGTGCAATTAGGCATTATAATTTTCCAGAATGTTCAGAAAGAATCAGCTAAGCAAAAGAACACGTCTTTATGTTTTACTATTTATCCTGTGTACATTTGTGTGTATGCTTTTATTCTTAAACAGTGAGAACGTTTTGAGTTGATGTTATTAATAAATCCCTTTATAGTATGGGTTATACCAAGCGTAAAGCACAGATGTTTGGACCCCGGATCTAAAAGTTTATTTGCCTTTTATTATTTATAAGTCACTATGCATATTAACTGTTTTTGAAGCACTGTACATAATATTAGAATAATTCCCAAGGCTATTTTGCTGGGACTTAATTCTGTATGAAATACAAAACAAACTGGATTAAAAGACTGAAGCAATTATTATTTCCTATGTAATCACTTTTGACTTATTAATCATGTTTTAATGTAAATGTAATCTCTAAATATGACTCCTGGTAAAACTGTTGATTGGTGTAGTAAAGTGAAATAAGACAGATATATATGCTATATATGCTGTTTGAAAGTGGAATCAAATCAGGAGAGGTTTCTTTGTTTTCTCATAGCCTTTTTTTTTTTTCTTTCATAGCCTTTTAAAGAGTTTAAGTTTATTGTAGTAAGGTCACTAAAACGTTGATTCTAAAATGTAGATTAATTACTTTATATTAATTTTACCCTGGAAATCCAAATTTAATGATTCTATATATTTCTTCATTTACATTTTTCATGGCTTGTTTATATAGGAACTAAATATCATAGTGAATAAAAAGATAGTTAACAAAGGCTGCATACTATGGGTCAGCACTGTTCTCAGCGTTTGTATTAACTTTTAAAATCCTTACACAAATACTATGAGGTAGGCACCATTTTTACCCCATTTTACAGATAAGGAAACTATAGCACAAAGAAGTATAACTTGGTCAAGATTATAGCTGCTAATAAATAGCCATCATTCAAATCAGACAAGCTCCACTCTAAAGCTCATATTCTCAACACTAAGAAAATCAACACATTATTTCAATGACTGTACAATGATTTGAGCTACAAAACCCCAAATCAAGATTGGTCAAAAGTTTTAACTTTTATCACGAGCAAATTTGTGAATAATAGTTTTGGTCTAGAAAAATCATATTTTCAATATAAATTAGTTTTCAAATTAGAAGATATCTAGCTCATTTCATTGAGTAACAAAATGCTGTCAGAAGCCATATAATACAAGATTACGTTCATTTATGATTTCCTACTACTTTATTTTGTATATAAGAGTAATTAGTGATGAGTCACCTGGAAATGAAGTGCCTGATAAATAAAGGTGAATGTTTAAAAATACTGGAGACAAAAGTCTTCCTAAGGCCAGGGTGTTAGCCTTAAAGGATGACTACACAGCTCCTGTTTGGCCTGGAGCAGTGGGCACCTGCCGCTAGTTAAAACTTACCTTCAACCCCCCTGTTTCATTTTCTGGGATCATTGCCTTCCTGGGATGATGTATTTTCCTAAACCTTCAGGCAACCAAATCCTCTACCTTTGTCTCTCTGGCCATCCTTTCATAAACAGGACACTGAGTGAGCAAAAACAGATACAAATGTATGCTGTAATAGAACTTACAATTTGATTTGGGGGAAAGGCTGTCATATAACAAATGTAAAACCACAGCCACGATAAAATACTTTAAAGAAAAGGTATAGGGTGTTATGAGGTTTTCAAATGAAGAAGTTAAAGAAGGCATCTGACCAAGTGCCCTTTGAACTGAAGGGGTGAGTGGGTCTTAATCTAACAGAGGGCATAGGGAGCAGTGTTTGAAGAGGTGTTGGATCTGGAGGGAGAATTGTATGAGGAGTTGGGAAAGTGAGAGGGGGCTAGTGGAGAGAGTAAGAGGGAATATTGTGTGAGTGGGGCTGCACAGGCGCAGGGATCTGACCATGAATGACCTCACAAACCATGGTTAAGAGTTTTGTCTTCATCCCAGGTGGAAAACATGGGAAGTTTGCTGCTGGCACATTCACTGTCACGTCATTGTACGTGATGTATAATGCTCACTTTTACCACAACCATCATCATCAACTCTCACTCTAAATACAGAACACACATACACATCAGTTTCTTCTGGTCCCCAAACAACAGTAAATTGTTAGACTAACTAATAGAGTGAACACTGAAATGCTCCTTAACTAGGGAGGAAATTTTTAAGGATCCGGAAGTACTGTCAAGTTTCTGAGTTCCTGAATGACATTAGCAGTGCCTTTCCTCTCTTATTCTTTCACCTGGTAAACTACATTGATTGCTTTTGAATTTGGAGATATAACAGTTCATAGATTATGTATTATAATGCAGAAAAATTGTACAATAAGTATATTTTTAACGAAATTGATTTTTTATGTACCATTTACAAAATTAAGCTGTAACTTGCTATAACATAAAGTACACAAGTTTTAAACATGCATAACTTTGTGCATATATTACTATTGCCCAGAACAAGATATAAAATATTTCTAACATCTAGTAGGGTTTTTGGTACCTCTTCCTGGATTATGACCCCTCCCTCAAAGGTAACCACTATTCTAACTTACAATACCATGAATTAATTTTGCTGTTTCTGAACTACGTATAGGTAGAATCATATAGTATATATAGATCTTTTGATCTGGCTTTGTTTGCTCAATGTTGGCAAGAGATTCATCCATATTGTTATTTGCAACTTCAATCTGTTTTTGCTCCTTGTGGTGTAGTATTCCATTGTTTAAATGTACTGCAATTCATTCATCCTTTCTGCTGTTGAGAGATATTTTATGATTCGATGTTTTTCCCCCTATTTGATTTGAATTTTAAGTAATGAAATATTTGATAAAATTAAAGTGTTCGTATTGTTTGGGGATTATTTTGTTTTGTCCTTTCTTCTGTTTGTTATCTAGTAAGCTATTGTTTTATGGTATAATATTATTCCAGGTTCTCAGGTTTCATAAGCATTAGCAAACCATATGAAATTGCCATTTTGTAAGTCAAAATCGGTTGAATAGTATTTTTCCACTAGGCTTTTTCCGATGATCTTCCTTTCAGCCAGGGACCTCATAATTACTGTGAAACCTCACCTCTTCACCGTTGTGAAATGCCAAGTTTAGGGAGCTGTGTTTTCCATTCTTTTAGATGAGGAACAGGACCTACTGATGGGGTTAGTGATTAGGCTAATATTACAGAGAGGTCATTGAAAGAGCTGAGACTGGAAGCCAGGAATCCTGGTATCCTTTTCTCTTGTTCTAGATACATTTTAAACTTCCCTCGTGTTGGTAACTTCAGTATATTCACCTACTTGTGAATATACTGAGTATCATATCAATTTTAAGGTAATAATATATTTGCCTTTTTTCTTCATTATGAGTAATCAGGTTAGGGGAAATAATTTTCTTTGAGCAACAAATTATTTTCATTCACTCCATTACAAGTGAAACAGATTGCTGGTGGCTAATATGTTATTATATACAGAGTGTCTCAAAAGTCACCCAAAAAGTCACCATACACAGGGAAAGTAGGAAATTGTAGCTAAATATACCTTTATTAACAAAATATTCATTACAGCATTTTACAAAATATTCTCTACATATTGGCTACCTGTTTGTAAATAAGGGTACATCTAGCTATTACTTCCCATTTTCCTTATGTATGGCAACTTTATGAGCAACTTTTGGGACACCCTGTATATTGGCTATCTTTAATGTGAGGAAGTGTGATTTCTTTTTTTTTTTCTTCTGTAGAGGCAGAGCCTCATTTTATCACCCTCGGTAGAGTGCCATGGTGTCACACAGCTCACAGCAACCTCCAACTCCTGGGCTTAGGCAATTTTCTTGCCTCAGCCTCCCAAGTAGCTGGGACTACAGACTCCCGCCACAACACCTGGCTATTTTTTTGTTTCAGTTTGGCTGGGGCTGGGTTTGAACTCGCCACCGTTGGTATATGGGGCTGATGCCCTACCCACCAAGCCACAGGCGGCAGCCAGGAAGTGTGATTTCTAATTACCTTATTATTTTGGGGGTGGGAAACATAAGTACACTTCCTCCAAAGAAGTCTGCTTATGTTTAAAAAAAAGCTTTAATTTTTTAGGAAATAGGATGTTTTTTAATAAATTGGCTAGACAACTGGAAATCTTATCAGCCTCTTATTATGTTCTTAGACATGTTCAAAAATATTTTTCACAAAGTAAACAGGAGTATTTAAAATTATCAATGTAGGCTTAGCACCTGTGGCTCAAGTAGTCAAGGTGCTAGCCACATACACCTGAGCTGGTGGGTTCAAATCCAGTCGGGACCCACCGAAGCAACAATGACGGCTGCAACCGAAAAATAGCCGGGCATTGTAGCAGTCGCCTGTAGTCCCAGCTACTTGGGAGGCAGAGGCAGGAGAATCGCGTGAGCCCAGGAGTTGGAGGTTGCTGTGAGCTGTGATGTTATAGCACTCTCCGCAGGGCAACAGCTTGAGGCTCTGTCTCAGAAAATAAATAAATAAATAAATAAATAAAATTATCAAAGCAGTACTATAGATTCTATAATACTTGTTAATGTAACTGAAATGTGATCAGTATGACTCTGAGAAATGATGTCTATCTTGTATGAGTTGTGTGAAGGACTGTGTGCCTCAATTTATGAACGTAATGGGGATATCGGCATTTGGCAGGATTGGCATTTGTAAAATAAATATGTCGTTGCCACTCCCAAACTCTGCTCAGCAGCAGATGGTGCTTCGAAAGGACTGAATGCTCAGCCTCTCAGGAGGTAATTAGCAAGTGAACTGAAATGCAGCAACTCCTAGGGAGAAAGGTTCTGTCAGCTAAGGTACAGTTGCCCGTCTGCCACTCTGCACTCCTCCTTGAGTGTTGGCAGGTGGTTTAGGACTTTCTTCTTCTTTTTTTAATATCCTGAAGTATATAGATTGAGATGGGACAAAATTATGAATTTAGAGGTCACTAATGCTTTGTGACAAAACAGAAACAACTCTATGAGCTGGTCATAAACCTACTAATTCTTTGGAATTAAAGAGAGAATTTTTACATTGAATGTTGAGTTTTTTAAAAACCAGTATAGCATACATGTAATAAACCATCAAAATAGGAATTGTCCAGAGCAGTTTAATTCATTGATTTTTTTTTTTT